CTTTGTATTCCTAATTTGTGATATATTTGTTGAAAATGTGAGTTTGTATTAGGCTTTTTGAAAAACTTCATATTCTGTATGGAAAGAAATAAAATGACTATGCCGACTAGTCTGCTTCTATCAAATACTATGCTTATTAGGGTGTTCTCTTGCTTGATTTTAATGAACTTTGGACCATCTCATTTCTTGAGTGACATTAATTTGGAAATTTGCTTACATAACCTTTTTCACACTGCCTTTTCTGATTTTTGTCAGTATACCTGACTTGTTTACTTATTTTACCATCTCAAATACGGGGGGAATACCAGTATTTGAGATGGTAGGAACAAGTGGTAATTGTACCAAATCCTATCTTCTCTGTTGAAGTGAGTATTTGTCTTAAGAATATGCTCAAACAGTTGCAAGGGAGGTTGTCAGAACTTTGCTAATTAGGGAAAGTATGTATAAAATAAAATTTTTAGTTAGTCTTGAGAAAGTTTTCCTATGGATCAAGTTTTGTTGATTAAAGACTTTATTGCTTCCCAGCTGCTTGTCATTGCTGTCAGAGCACCACTGGCAATAGAGTTTCATGAGTTTGCCTTCATCAATCCAGTACAAGGGTCAGCTCAAGCCACTTGCATTGCCTTTTTAAACTAACCTGCCCTTTAATTTATTCAGTCGATTAGGGAGGCGGTTTCCATCATCCCTTCTTCCAGCAATAGTGCTGAGGTGCTAACCTCCAGCTGCCTGGATGCATTGACCATCTGGGAATTATATTATCTTTGTCTGGCACAGCTCTTTGAAGATCGGTGTGTATCCCCAGCCTTAAAGCACTGTGGAGGAGGTTTGTGTTAAAGCATTTCACTTTGTAATCGCCAGAGACTGACACAACAGGCATGTTGTTGAGTGGTTGTAACGCAGTGGGGTGTGATCTCAGTCAGTTCATAAAAATTCCACTGACAAGGAGACAGTCATCAAGCCATGGTAACAACCACTCTTGGTTGTGTGTCTGCTACTGGACACCAAGGATATAACTTACAGTAGCTGGTACCAGTGAAATGTTACTTGTCTGAACAGGTTTTGTAACTAGGCCAAGTTGATCAGTGTGCTGTAGAGCTGTATTATGGCAAGGAATTGCTGTTCATGGATTGATAGCTGGGAAGGGTCCTAGATTTCAGTGGTTAAATGAAATGACATACCTGCCTTGAGTAACACTGTGATATAGAATTTGACTTCGACATCTGTGCTGAGTTTAAGGACATAGCAGATACATGTTGTAGATTGACATTAAAACGATACTTTTCTGGGGCAGTTTTTAACTAAGAATATATTTATTGTCAGAATATGCAATTAAGGCTTTTTATTTCCCCAGCATGTTTGTTAGGCTGGTGATACTTACCAACTTGAAATTTCACCAGAAAATATTTCACCAGAAACAAGTCTAGAAGGTGAAATATTATATCATGTGATATACAAAAGAGTAGAATAAGTTGCCGCAGAAGAAACAGTTGTGTAAAACAACCATTGTTAAGAGTGTAAATTTAGATGTGGAAAATATAGTGGTTTGAAAATGTTTAGTAACTATTTTGAGGTCTGGTTTTGAGTATGGAATCATGAGTCATTTACAAAAGCAGAATTATTTACAGATTTTGCACGTTCCTGTAATATTGTTAATGTTGTGTTTCTATAGACAATTTTATGTAAATGGTATGTTATGCTTCTAATTTTTTGTTATCAATATAATATACCTATACTATTATTTTTTATATATTTCAACATCCTTCTTTAGGTGAGCTAGAGTGTCCTATTACAGTGCAAAAATCTGAAATTGAGCTTTTACAGGAAAAAACACAGGTTTTAACCTAGCAGAGCATAATTTGAACACTACAGATATGCTGGAAAGCAACAATATAAGGCTGGGAAGTAAGCATGAGGTACAGTAGTTTTAATGCCTCATATATTTGTGTCTAAGTCAGACTGGTGAAGCCAAACATTTTTGCTCAAGGGTCCAGATAATAATTTTAATATCTGTTGACGCTGCTTATAATTCTGGAAGCTTGTTTGAATGGTTCTTGTGTTATCTGCCAAAGACTTGTTAAAATAGCTGTTGGGAGTAGAAGGTTTTACCTTATTAAATACTGAATAAGGGATTCTTAATTAAATGAACTATTTGAAGGATAAATTCTTTGTAGGTTTGTTAAAATGAATATTTATCAAGTATTTTATGATGTTTATCAGAGTGACCATCTTTCCCTGGAAGGAAAATGAGAGAAATATAAATGGTTATTATTATGATTTTATAAGTGAAAAATATTTTTTTCCGAATTTTTGATTTTTACAGTAGGATATAGTATTTTTTCTAGGAATAATGATAACAGTGTCTTTTGAAGTTTATACCTTTGACTTTGTATGGTGTTGGATTGCTTCTTTCATGGTGTTTTGCTGTTAAATATAGGTGTCAGTAACAGTAACAGCTATAAATTACAGTAAATGAAAGAGAACTGTAAATAATTCTATGGCTAAATTGAACTATTAAATTAACTGAGGCCATGATGTTTTTTAGTGTGTTCAGCCTCTTCCTCATCTATTTTTTTTTGTGGTTGAATAGAATGTGGGAAACTTGGAAGAGATTTCTTTAGTAAAGTTACAAATATGAACATGATTCTGAATAATATAAATAATTTACAAGAGTCAACCATCATGTCCATTTCCCTGAGAACTTTCTGGTTTACCCATATTTGATATCTCATAACATTATTTTTGAAAAATGTATGATGTTCTTTCTTAATGTCCTGTGCTGCGTGCTATATCTGGAAAAAACCCAGAATTTAGAACATTTGTTCAGGAGCATGTGATGGCATCTCTGTGAAAATGTGTGTAAGAAAAAACAAAATACTGCACAAGCAATGTAGAGTGAAGAATAGAGGATGAGGAACAGCCCTACAAACACCAAGGTCAGGGAAGGAGGAGAGGGAGAAGTTGTTCCAAATGCTGGTATTTCCCTGCAGCTCATTGAGGAGATCACCATGGAGCAGATGTCCATACAGAAGACCATGGAGGAGACCACAGCGGATGGGTATTCCCTCATGGAAGCTGCAGCTTGTGAAAGGGAGTCCTTGTGAAGGTTCCTCTTACACAAACTGTGGTCCATGGAAGACCCACTCTGATAAGATTTATCCTGAAGGATCCCAGCCTATGGAGAGGCCTTATACTGGAGCAGGGAAAAATAAGGAGGAAAGAATGACCCAAGAGGAAGTGTTATGGACTGACTGTAAACCTCTCCCTGCACTGCTCAGAAGGAGATAAAGAAGCTAGGAGTGATGGAATGAAGTTGAGGGTGGGAAGCTGGGAGCTCCTCCTGGGTGGGGGATAAGGTGTTGATTAGTTTTTTTTCTTTATTTCTTACTACCCAAATCTATTTTAAGTGACAATAACTTACACTAATTTTTTCCAAAGCGAGTCTGCCCTCAATGGTGAATGGTAAACCCATAAGCTTTATTGCCCTATTTTCTCCTCCTATCCTAGTGAGGAAGGAAATTGAGTGAGCAGTTGAGTAGATGTTTGATCCTTTGCCAAGGTTAACCTACCACCAATGTCATTGTCTGTTTCCTCAGAGTAATGTAAATGAGACTATTGTTTGTCATGAACTGATCACTGTGTCAGAAATAAAGCAATTACACTCCCTTGTGTAAAACAACATACAAACTTTTAAAGCCTATTGTGGAGAAACTTTGTCTGATATGTAGATCCTAGTTTTTTATTTTATTTTATTTTATTTTGGGTTTTTTTTTCTGAGAGTGAGGGTAATGATGCTTTTTTTAAAAAAATTGTTTAGTTGTTTGTTGGGGGCTTTTAAATCTCTTTTATGCACATTTCAGAAGCAAAAGTATCCCAAAATCAGATGACAAAACAACCTTGGCAATATCTACATTCATAATTTTAAATGTGTGGTATTACTATTTTGTGATATTTAGTGATAGATTTTTTTTTTCCTCCTTTTTTTGAAACCAATCCTATTTAAAGTGAAAAAGTGCATTACATGGCATCTTGTAAATGTATCACATTGGAAAGTAATGGACAAAATAAAAAATGTCAGTTGCTAGTTAAGATATTATTTGAGGTTAAATCAATTTAATGGAATAGTAGAAGTGTTGACATATACAGTATTGAAGAAGAATTTATTCTGAATTCCTTTTTGTTGTAAATCAGTCACTTTACAGTGAAAGTGACAAAATACAACAACAATAATAACAAATTAAGTTTTTGTTTGACTTTCTGTATTTATGTAATAGCGTTTTACCTTATTGGTATTAAGTGTGTGTTAGTATTTCTCTGTTCTTAACCAAAGTTATTCAGAAAATCTGAAAGTCTAATTTGATGAGGTCTTTCTTTTTTTACCATAAGGACATATGACATAGTATGCCCAGTTTAAGTGTTACTTTCACATACTCTTTCTCCAGATTGCTATATGAAGCTGTACATAATATAAACACATATTCTTGTCTCTAGTTAGTCACATTATAGTTAATGACCATATGGTCATTATGGTATAAGATCTACTGTCTGTTGTATTTATATTCCTCAAGCATATTGTTCCTTCAACTTCACAGTGTGTTAAACTATTTCAAAGGGAAAAAAATCCTTTCCCTCTTGTTTCTGGTTGTCCTATCAAGTGTAACCTTGGACCCTTATAGAGCAATTAGACCAGCCTCTATCCCCTCCTTTGTAATGAGGTTTCTTGCATTTCTGAGTCTATAACCCTTTAGTCTTCCCTAATGGGACATCATTATTCTGAAAGAAACAATGTAAATGTAAATGAATATTCTCATTAACGAGTCACAGAGAAACCTTTAGTGGTAGCGCTGTGGTAATTCTGCTTGTTATTTCTCTGGTATTCCATGCAGATTTTTTTTTTTTATAATTCATTATTAGTATTCAAAATTACTTCTTCTTTAATTCTGCATGTCTTTCATAATCCGGTGTTCCAACTAGTTCAACCATGTCCTTGTTTTATTCTCCAGGAACCACCTGTGAAACGTTCAAGGTCTCTGTCCCCAAAGAGCTCTTTTAGAGAGTCAGAGGAACTAAGGAAGCTTAAAATAGCTGAAAGGAAGATTGAAAACTTAGAGAAGACACTACGGCTAAAGGTGAACATTAAAAAAAAAAAACAACCCACAAAAAAACCCTGCTAGCTATAAGCTTGCATAGGTAAAGATACTACAAAATAAACAGGTATTTTAAAAATTAAAAATACACATATTGTTATAGATTCTGTATTAGCATCAGGGAGTGCTCTCCATTAGTTTACCTTTTTGTTTTACTGTGTGAGTAATCCTGCAGTCCTATAGAAGCTTAATTGAGCTGTCATCAATAACACATACTTGGTAAAGACATTTTCAAAGTTTGTATCTGAGAACATATATTCTGAGAAAGTCATGTATTCATATAGAAATAAACCAGAAAGTACAAAAATTTTTTTCTTTACAGTGAAGCCAGTATTTGAAATGCTAAAGTCAATTACTTGAAACAGATTTACCCCTGGAAACCTTAGAAGTTATGGCTCAGAAGTTGCTGTTCTAACAAATGCTGTTAAAAAAAACCCAATAAACAATCCCCCTCCCTCCACCCCTTGGTAGAAAATCTTAATTGAGCATGTATTACAATTTCTCCCTGTTTCATAGATTTTTGTAGGAGTTTTTTTGTTGGTTTGTTTTTTTGCTTCAGAAATACAGTACCTTTTGAACAAACTATTGGATTCAAATTGCCCCTCAGAACACAAAACTCAAGCCCTAAGTCATATTTTCTTCACATTTAAAATTCATCCTCTCCTCCCTCCCCTCCTTCTCCTCCCTCCCTTTTTTTGTTGCTTATGTTTGTTCAGAGTTACGGTATTTGAAAGATGTTTTCAGTATGTGTAGCCTAAAGCAGAACTGGTTATATTGAACATGCTGTGACAAATGTCAGGTAAGTGAAAAAATTTGATAGCCCTACTAAGCATAGTCCTAAGCTCCTGCCTCATGCAAAAAGACACTCATGTGATAAGTCAGTTTTAGAAAAACTGTGAGAAAAGTATTTTAGCACAAATGCCATAATTCATCACCCTGTATACTGAAGAGAGTTTAATGCTGTGCCCTAACACATGCAGAATATATGACAGATTACTATTATAATATAGGAAGGATTATTTAGACTTCAGTCTTACAGGTCATCTTGTTTCTGGGAGTCAGAAAATTAATTTTCATTTTTTCTCTCTGTTGAAAAATCTAAGGAATGTCCCACCAGCTAAATCTGAGGCTGGGAACTGGCCTTTGGGAGGATTCCTTTTTTTACTCTCACTTGGTGTTGTGGTTTTGCCCAGCCGGCCAGCCCCTGGGGCTGAGAATGGTTTTGTCCAAGCGGATTTCCGGACAAGAAGCCAATTAAAACTCTCAGTAACGCCTTTGCTAATTACATATTTAAGAAAACGGAAGAGAAGGTTGGTTGCGCAGTTGAAATTAGGCAGCCATGTAGGGAGTGGTGTCAGGCCCCAGGTGGGGGGCCAGGCCCTCTCCTCCCCCGGCTTGGGCCGGGGTGCAGGTGTGGCACTGAAGCCCCCCTTCTCTCTTGTAAAAGAGTGAAGGAAAAAAAATTTAAAAAACTGACTGCTTGGACGAGTAACACTGTAGAAGGAATTCCAACAAAGAAATAACGGAGTGTCCAAGGTCGAGGCTGGCAGCTGAACAGGAGAGAGAAGTGCGAAGGGGAGGGGCTTGCTTCTTTCCCCTTTCACTCTCTCCCTTCAGCAGGGTAAAGACTGAAAAATAAATCCCTGCCACCTATGGAAGTTTGTTGGGGTGAGGAGACCCCCGTGCTGCTCGTGGAAGAGCCTACACTGGAATAAGTTGATGCATCAAGAAGCCAAGACTTCATGAGAGACCTGAGGTGAGGCAAGAGTCCTGTTGAAGACTTTGTGACCCTTGAAGGGGACGATGTTTATGCCGGAGTGAGGACGGCTCGGATAAGCTTGGGATCTCAGTGAGAAATCCATGCTGCTAGTACTGGAGAGTTGTGACCCTGAGAGAACCTCATGCTGGAGCAAGAATGGCTTGGGTGAGATGTTGAAAGATCCATGCTGCTGCTGTTGAAGATTTATGACCCTGAGGGGGATGAGAACCTCACGCTGGAGCAGGAACAGCTCGGGTGAGATGTGGAGATCCAAGTAAGGAATCCATACTAAACTCATGCTGGAGAGGTATATCAAGGACTGTTCTCCCATGGGAGGGACCTCCATAGGGAATAGGGGTGGACTTATAAGCCATTATCCCCTGTAACCCTGTGGAAGAAAATCCGTGGTAGGCAAGTGTCCCCTTGTAGCCCATGAAAGAGAAGACCTTCAGGGCCTGGGTAACCCCCCAGCCTCCGGTCTTAGCCCAGGAGGGAGGTAGGCCCAGCCCTGGAGGCCGACACAGAGAAGGAAAAAAGAATTCCAACTGTGATGAGGGTGCTGCAGAGCTACTGGAGAGAGAGCTGAAAGTCCGAGAAAGGACTGCTTCTCCTCTTTGGACTGATATAAAGGAGGGAGAGGTATTTTCTCTAAATACATAATACTTTTTACTTAAGTAAAGTGGTTAGAGATATAATTCCTTAGTAGTTTTTATTTTGTTAGTAATAAATGTTCATATTATTTTCCAAAATTCAGTCTCTTTTGTCTGCATAAACCTTCTCCCAACTAATAGTAATTGTGTGGGGGGTGTGAAAGCAAATTGACCCAGAACAAAACCACGACACTTGACCTGCCAGACACCGATGCTACAGATTATTCTGACATGTGAACTACAGCTCCTTTCCCTTGGAAGCAAAGATTACAAATCAGTGTGTATGGTTGTTGCCTTAAATGATAGCGAGCTCTACATTTCTCTCTTTTCTTCTGAAAAGAGGAGTGAAGGGAAACAATAATTTTCTCACTAGATACAGAAAAGAACTCTCTCGGTATAACCTCATATCGTAATTTGTACCATTCACCATCCTGCCTTTACTTACCTTCTATTTCATCTTAAAGTATAATTTAGGAATCTGTCCAGCTTTATTATGTTGCAGATGTGGGATCTCTCTCACAGCTTTTAAACCATGATGTCATCAAGGGCTAAGTCATATCTCCCCTTGAAACTGAACACATGAACTCATTGCATTTTCTCTTGAAAATCTTCTTGTCTTCTTTTGTAGAATGCTTTAACTGGTTGAAAAGAAACTGTAGAGGCCCAGGTCAACATACTAAACACTGTTGTGGCACTACATTCAGAATTCAATGATGGCTATTGCCAGCATGACAGTGTACTAAACTGTCATAACATTGATGTCAGAATATTTCTATTGGTGTTCTGTGATTTCTTGATATTAGCCTTCTCATATGCATTTTTTCCAAAAAAGAAATAATGCATGTGAGCAACATTTTCAAAACTGGCACTTGCATTATTGCCTCCTCAGGCAAGGTGTTGACTATATGATTACCTGGAATATTATTGTTCAGAAAAATCCTTGCTCTATCAATAAACACACTGATGATGCATATCTAGAGGATGAAATTGTGCCCTTATCCATTAGTCTTTCTGAAAAACTGGTAAAAAATAAATAAAGAAAAAAGCACTCTATTTATGGGATTTTCAGGAACAGGAATGCCCTAGTCAGTATTGCAAATGAGCAGAAAAGGACAAGATCCCATTCACAGGATTTTCCAGTTCTCCTCAGTTGACTTATTTCTGACCAAGAAAAATTACCTATTACTATCTTTGTTGCTTTTATGAACGGGATGATCATGTAAATTCAGAGTGTCCACAGTTTTTATACAGAATTGCCTTTGTGTCTGGACATACTACAAAGAGCATGCGTGATTGTGCTCTTGTTTACAGAAGAGAATGTCCAAGTAAATAGGGGTACTTACTGGGTTTTAAATAGCGAATTATCAAGCTGCTACTTAGAATGGTCCAAAGCATAACTGCATCAGTCTGCTTTTGGGCTTTAAGAAGTGGGTAAGAGTTTTGTTGTCAAGAGTAGATATTTGATATGAGCTAAGAATTCTCCCATATTATGTTTTTAGAATTGTGAACGCTGGCATAGCCCAGAGGAGATAATTCTGGCTGTACAGGAAAGCTCTCAAAAGCAAGCAGAGCTCTTCCCATTGAGTTTTCTCATCCTATTTAAGTTCTGAAGTTTTTGGAGATAATTAAAACTAGGTTATATAGATCTCTCTTTCGGCCCACCTTAATACTTGTTCATGTGAGCAACACTACACTCACATTTAGCTCAGATTTTCTACTTCATGTGTGGTGCTCGATGCTGAAAATAGATTGGCTTGTCCACATAACTATTTGTGGAAGAAATTCTTTTTGTAATAATGAGTATGTCACTTCTTGTAAGCCTAAGAATAGTAGTTAAATAATTACATCAGTATAATTTTTTTAATTTCCTTTCTGCTATTGTAGAAGTTGGTACAGGTCAATTTCAACAAAATTTTGAATTCGTTATTAGAATCTTTTGGCTTGTCTGAGATGCCTGCCAGAAAAGAATGGTTTTTGTTTCACAGACAGTTGGATTTTTCCTCTTGCAGATTGGACTTATTGTCTTTCATTATTGCTTAGGAAGTACTATAGAATGACAATAAAGAGCTGGAAAATAATCTGGAGGTCCAGCACTGATAGAAATGGTTGTTCTGTCCATTTCTGCAAATATATAGAAAACTGTGTATAAGACAGTTTATTTATTAAATATACTATAATTCAATCAGAGAGAGATAGATCTAACAGACTGTGGACATTTCAGTGTATATTTAAGATTCTGAAGTGCTTAATTCAATAAAGAGAGTGATTAGGACAGTTAATTGTCTAATTTCTATTTCTGCAAGAGCAGAGCAAGTGATAAAGGAAGGAAATAACTGTAACAGAACGGATAATAGAACAGGTAAGCAATAATGAAAAATGTAGATTCATAAATAGGAAAGGCCAAATTCTACAGTTGGTTGCACCTCTGAAAGGGCATTGACACTAATAAGCTTCTTAGAATTTATGCTGAAGACATTATTTTCCAGTACCTTGGCAGACTTGATCAGTTTTTACTAGCAATATCAAACAATGTCAGAACAATTGTTTCATGAACTTCTCTTGAAAACACAACATCTGTAATTGGATTCTTATGAAAATTTCCTGTTGTAGTGTGAAGCACAGCATGCTAATAGTCTCTGTGGCCTTAGTCTGAGATTTATCTTGCTATTTGTGTGATTGGTTTCTTCAGCAAAGCCTTTGACACTGTCTCCCATAGCATACTCCTGGAAAAGCTGACAGCCCGTGGCTTGGACAGGAGCACTCTGTGCTGGGTTAGGAACTGGCTGGAGGGCCGGGCCCAGAGAGTGCTGGTGAACGGGGCTGCATCCAGCTGGGGGCTGGTCACCAGTGATGTCCCCCAGGGATCAGTGCTGGGCCCAGTCCTGTTTAACATCTTTATCAATGATCTAGATGAGGGGATTGAGTCCATCATCAGCAAATTTGCTGATGACACCAAGTTGGGAGGGAGTGTCAACCTACCAGAAGGCAGGAGGGCTCTGCAGAGGGACCTGGATAGGCTGGAGAGCTGGGCTGATTCCAGTAGGATGAGGTTCAAGAAGGCCAAGTGCCGGGTCCTGCACTTTGGCCACAACAACCCCTGCAGTGCTACAGGCTGGGCACAGAGTGGTTGGAGAGCAGCCAGGTGGAAAGGGACTTGGGGGTGCTGATTGACAGGAAGCTGAACATGAGCCAGCAGTGTGCCCAGGTGGCCAAGAAGGCCAATGGCATCCTGGCCTGGATCAGGAACAGTGTGGCCAGCAGGAGCAGGGAAGTGATCCTTCCCCTGTCCTCAGCTCTGGTGAGGCCGCACCTTGAGTATTGTGTCCAGTTCTGGGCCCCTCAGTTCAGGAAGGATATTGGGGTGCTGGAGCAGGTCCAGAGAAGAGCAACCAGGCTGGTGAAGGGACTTGAGCACAAGTCCTGTGAGGAGAGGCTGAGGGAGCTGGGGTTGTTTAGTCTGGAGAAGAGAAGGCTTAGAGGTGACCTCATCACTCTCTTCAACTACCTGAAGAGAAGTTATAGCCAGGTGGGGGTTGGTCTCTTCTCCCAGGCAACCAACAACAGGACAAGGGGACATGGGCTCAAGCTCTGCCAGGGGAAGTTTAGGTTAGATGTTAGGAAGAAATTCTTTACAGAGAGGGTGGTCAGGCATTGGAACGGCCTGCCCAGAGAGGTGGTGGATTCACCATCCCTGGAGGTTTTTAGAAAGAGATTGGACATGGCCCTTAGTGCCATGATATAGTAATTAGAGTTGGATCAGGGGTTGGACTTGATGATCTTGGAGGTCTTTTCCAACCCAATCTATTCTATGATTCTATGAATATCATGGTAGTATTTATATGAACCACTTAAAAACAGTCAGAAGTACTTTTTAAGCAATTCTAAGTTTATAAATATGTCTGGTTTAGAAGTTGTTTCAGGAAAAAAAACCTACTACCACCAGTTTGAGAAAGTTTTTAATGGTCACGTCACTTTATACATGCTTCTGTTCCTAAATCTTTTTGTGTTGCCTGAGTCACTTCCAAAACTCTCCTGCAATTTTTTATGTAGTAACATTTGAAATTCTAGCTGGTAACTTCCGACTTTGTGCATTGTGAAAGTGGGGCTACATTTAAAAGCCAAGCACTTAGTCTATGTACTTTGTAGTTGCAGTACTCTAGAAACCCTTACCGGTTTTTGTAGTGGGATTTTATTGCTTACTACTCTGGCTATTGGTGTATCTTAGTTATTGACTAGTGCTGAAAAGTCCTCCTTGCATATAAGCAGTAAATACTTGCAGATAAAGTATTGTGGTTTACTTAGTTGTATAGTTACCCTACAAGCAGAGCTTCTATTGAAGTGGAAATGAAGCTCTGAGTGCAAATATTGCTGCAGGATAATGTCTGGTCAATTCTTCATTGCTGTATCCCGAAGTTTGACTTGCTTGATACTGTGAAATACTTCTTTGTTTTTTACAGCACTGTACTGTCATTTGGAAAAAATCTTTTTTTTAAACTTAGATTATGTTATCCTGTAATAGAAATTGAGGTGTATTGTACTTTTTGTTCTGTACATTTTTTGTATGGTTTTGATGATACAAAAGCTATTGTAAAAATTGGGTATATTTCTTGTTTGCTGCGTTACTAGAAGACAAAATCTGGGAGTTGCAGGTTTATGTATATATAGTCAGAAACAATATATGAAGAAATACTGAAGCCTTTAAATTTAGGGGCTCCAGTATTTCCCTTGAAAATACAAAAGTCAGTTTTCCATTGGGGGGAAAAAAAAAGGTAGTTTGGAAAAAAAGATGGTGCCAACAATCCTTTTTCTGTCTATATATTTTTAGATATATTAGGCCAATGTATTCCTAAGGTGAAAGCTGACGTTTTGGTAGTAGATTTTTTAGATTTCTCAGCAGCATGAAAAAAAAATCTAAGTTAATTTTGCCAAATTAGCTGAATTTTCCAAAGTAGTAATAAGAAAACTTTGATCTCAAAGACTGTAATTCCTGATCTTTCTATTTAGATTTCTGACTTACTTAATAGTTGCTAAAAGAGAACTTCTGTTTCATGTGGTCTGTGTGACAGTCTCTTGCGTTTTGACCAACTCTAATTCAATTTTTCTGCTTTCATACAGACCCAAGAAACTGATGAGCTAAGAGCAGCCTATGAAAAACACAAAGAAAGACTGCAGATGTTACAGACCAACTACAGAGCACTAAAAGAGCAATTAAAGCAGTGGGAAGAGGGTGATACCAGGTAAGTTACATAGCTCATTAAAAACATTTCCCTTACACAAGAAATCTGAACAGAAGTATTATATAGGTATTGAAAAGAGAATTTGAATTGAAGGAAGCAGCTGCTATGACTATGATCAAGAGTTTATCCCTTGCTGAAGCAGAATACATGGCTTATCCCTGTACGAGAAGAATTGTAGTTGCAACCAAGAGGAAATGTATTGAGCTGACACCTTGACTTATTTTATTTAGGGTCTCATTGTGAGCCTGAGTACTGGACGAAGGTCTGCTGGGGCTGCTTACTTATGTTTGTGTAATTCCCCAGTCAATTATTTTGTTGACTGTGTCTGGTTTTAATTTTCTCTAACACAACAGTTACTGATTATGTTTCAAATAGTTTTAAAAAATCGTTTTATTCATTAAAAATATGGAAATAACAGCCTCTCTAACACTTCGTGATTCAAATATTAACTGAATCCCATCCTGAAATCTCCTTCCTAATAGGGGAGAAAGATAATATGTGCATGAAAGCAGGCTGGTTTTATTTGTTAAATTATTTAAAAATGAATTATTGCTGATAATTTTACCCAAAAAATTGCAGTAAAGATCTTTATTAATGGAAAGAAGAAAGGCTACTACATAAAAATTCGTATGATGAACATTCTAAGTATAATTCCCCCTTAAATTCTATACAAAACAATGAAAATTTTATGCAGAACTTTTTTTTTTTCTAAGACCCTAGCAGACAGTTAGAGTGTTTGGTAAACAAATGCATTTGAAATTATGAAAACATTTCATTTCAGTTATTGACACTCCTGTGTTTTGGGACTTGGTTCAAGGAAGTAATTTTCTTGTAGCTTTAGCAGAACTTTGGCTCACTAAACGCGTATGAATTTTACTTAAAAATAATCCTTTTTGCAATTAGAACAATACTGACTAATCTTGACACAAACTTTATAATGCTCTCTGAATAAAAAGAGAGTCACAGAAAATGCTGCAAAACTGGTAGCTGTTCAGAGTCCTACTGATAAACTGTCCCTCATATATAAGTAATACTCTGGCCTATATGAGTAATTTGCATTGCTTTGAAATACTGTGGCATTTACTTAAGAACGGTTTGTCTTTTAAAACGACAAAACAAGTGTGGATGAAAATGATGGTAAAGTACAAAACCACTGCACCATTGGTGATAGCACAGAAGGATTTTTTGAAATATCCAAGCATAATTACAAATAAATTTGTTTAAATTATAATGAAAAGGTGCTTCTTATTTAGGAAAAAAACATGCATGATTTTTTCTTCTAGCTCATTATTTTAAATGGAGTGCAATCTGGAAGTGACTACTTCCAGGATGATAGTTACTATATTCAATGAAATTATTTAATTCTGTGTCTATAGCTAAATAGGCATTCATGGTCCACTGAGAGGCTGAGACTGAAAAGATAAAAAAATTCAACCTAGATAAAGACAGTAAAATCAAACTTGATATACAGTGAAGCATTGAGTGTTTTGGTTCTGATAGTTTTTTAAAAGATAAATAAAAAAGAACAGGAAAGAGAGACAAAAGCAACTTCTGTTTCTGTTTAAAATAAATAAGGCTAACTTGTGACGTGACAGGAATCTATTTGGGGAAAGTAGGTATTGGGTAAAATGTAATGATGAATCTTCATTCATTTGATTTTTCATATATATTTAAGATAAGCAGAAAATAACTGTTTTTTAATTGTAATCATAATAGAATTGTATGCAGAGGTTTGTTTTTTCTTTTTAGTTTGCTTAAACAAAGGAAAGTAACTGAGGCACAAATAAAAACAATCTATAACAATAAGACTTATTTTGGTATCTCAAAAAGCTATATAGTGCTGGTGTAATGTGAATTGTGCATTAAGAACTCAGTATCAGGTCCTTATGTGGCACTTCTGATCCTTTATGTGATGGAGGACCCCATTCTCCTTATTCATCATAGATTAGTATCTGTTATCGAGATGGCAGCTGATGGGACCTAATCCACCTGTCAGTGTATGTACAACTTGCACTGATGTACGTGACTGCAAAGATGATGGGGTCCTTAGGAGGTTATCACATTCTCTAAGACTGTTCTATGCCCAGTAGGAATTCAGATTACAGAGAGTTTTAAAATGATTTCACAAATAATTTTGAATACAATTTTTATCTTTTGCATTATTAAAATACATAAAAATATTTTAATGACAGAGAAACTGTTATGTATTTTAAATTTATTTTTCTGTGCCTTTAAATCCAGTATGCTTTTTCTTTATACATCATCTTGTCCATAGACAGTTTATTTGGGTGGTGCCCATTGATCTGTAGAACAACACTTTGATTTAGAGTAACCATTAGTGCAACTTCCAGATTGGTTTCCCAGGGCATTAGGGGAGCTGGTGGCTCCCCATTTTTTTTCAAGAGATGATGTGATGGTTTCAGCTTCTGCTTTCTCATACTATTATTTTAAGTAATGTTGATAGAATGTGGGTGACACTATTCTGCCACACGTAGGTTGAGAGGCATGGTGCCATACTGGCACAACATCTGTCTGAAACTATGCTATTGGACTTCTTTGTACTACAACAGTTAAGGTTTTGTGCCTCATAAAACGTGTACTTCATACAAAATGTAGATTCAGTAGATGCTGTACTTGAAAATTTGTATTTTCTGAAAGCAAAACATATAGGTATTTGAAAACAAACAACCTGGTTTTCTCATAAACAGGCTTGAAAACAGTAAAAGCAGATACCAGCATGCAGACTCCTGTCAGCTTTCTCAAGAGGATCCTGACGTGGTGTGGAATGAACTGGCTTTTTTCAAAAGGGAACACAAAAAGCTGTTGATTGAAAAGTGAGTTTGCTTCTTAAAAGGTGTTTAAGTAAAGAAAAATACTGGGTTTTTTTCTGAAGATAGTACTTTGCAGACCACATAAGAAGAATTCCTTGCAAAATTTCAAGACAAAAACATCTACCAAAAGCAGAAAAGGAAAACATCAGCTCTTTTTTTTTTTTTTCCTTCTCCCCCACCCCTCTTCCCCCTCCCCCTGAAATCAGTGACAAGTTACAAGTTTGCTAGCACTAACAGAAACTGTATTCCATGATCTAGGGATTGTGTTAATTAATGTGGCTCTCATCTGTTGGAGGTGTCGCTCTTCATTAGCCTGTATTTTACACACTGCCGTGCTTCATTTTTGGAATGAGGTGGTGAGGGGATAACCTAGCCAGCCATCCTTGTTTGATCTCTGTGATACATACGCAATGCAGAATGCCTCAGCTCTCTTGGTTCCCTGCCCTGTCCTGCTAATCCCAGCTGAGCTCATTATGGTGTAGCCTTGCTGCTACTCCTGGAGCCAGAGCTGTCCAAGCTAATTACTGGTAGCAGCAGAGCTGCCTGTTAAGGGTCTGGTGTGGATCTGCTAACATGGTCCTTGGTAGTGACCTGCAAAAAGCACGAGGGAGTTGCTCTCTTTCTTGCTGTGCACAGCCTGTCCTTTGGGTTTAGTGCTGATCCCTTCACACAGCTCTTTCAGCTGTAGTAAGTGTAAAACTTGGTGAAGGAAACTCTTACTTTAGAAAACATACAGTTTGCTGCTTTGATCTCATAATTCATAGGCTATTATACTCAGCCAGACAAAGTAAGAAAATGTCCTTTTATACTAGACAAAAGGAAGTTAGTATGGTATAATTAGCCCTTTGCTACTATTTAACACTTTCTGTAACTCAGGTTGATTTTTTTTCGTTTTAATTTAAGAATCAAGACATCATAGAGAGTTTTATTCAGACTTTGTTTTTGTCTGCATTAAAGAAAATGTGTTTTCCCAATGGGTCACAATGTAAACCAATTTTGTGGCGATACCATGAAGGCTGTTATCACAGAATTTCAACAGCAGCAAATTGTTTTGTACTATGTAAGTCCTCGTGTTGCCTTAGTGTATTACAGACAATATTGCCAGTAGCTGTGTTACATGAGATGTTCTTATATCTGTCAGTTACAATTGTCTGCCTGTTCTTGTCACTTCATTGTCACCTTTGTTAGCTGTTTTGAAACTATAGCAACAAATTATCACATGTAATTATTTTGTGGGTTTTCTTTTTGTATTTTTATATAGGAAGGAACACTTTCTTGCCGTATATGTAATTGCAGTTTTAATTCTCCTTCCATCAGTAGAGAACACGAGCACCACAGGCAGTAGTGACTCAGGAGCAATAACATAAGCCTTCTTTTTCACACAAAGCCATGCAAGACAGATTGCTTATGTATTGTACACACCCTGAAGGTTGGTACAGTTAGACTGCTTTTTTAGAGCTCCTGTGCACTCACATTTATGGGAAACACTGTTATGTCTTGTATGTTGCAGATCAGTGGCTTTGACTAGATTGTGGTGAGGTGGCATGAGCAAACAGAACACAGAATTTATAAGACAAAATAGGTTCGTAAAATACTGCACAGTACTTAGCAATAAGCCAGTATAGCATTGTGTTCATTAAGGTGAAAAGGACAGACAAAATTAATACGTAACTGCTGTGGGGTTTATATCTGTCTTTCGCTAATAATGGCTGGTTTTAATTTGTTGAAGCAAGTCATTGTTTCAAGATCTGAGCTCATTTTCTTAAGAAAGTCAACACTAAATTCAGTGTACTTCTTAGATCTGTGGATAGGGCTTCTTTATATTGCATGCATTCTTTTTTAAGCTCTGTGGATAACAGATATGATCTACTGAGTTGTACCAATTACTTATATGTATAATTTTACGAAGTGTAAATAAATCATGTTAAGCTATAGTTTTTGTGGATGCACTTGATTTGATAGACCCTACTGGTTGTTAGCTTAAGTTGATGTGGAACACTTGTCAAAACCAATGCAACGTTGCTTAAAGAAGGGTGTCTGTGTAGGAATTTCATTTTGGTTTAAGTACTTTTAACTTTGAATGTGTAATTTCTGTCTCTGAGTAGGCCAAAAAGTAAATGTTAGGAAAATAGGATTATTATAGTTGTTGTTTGTTTATGTGTTTAACTTGTAAGAAAGGTTTTCTCTCCCACCCTCTGAGGGCTAGAGCAATGATGTAAAATGTCTTTAGTCTACACGTATGTGGATCTGACAATTGATGGATAGTAAATACATTTTAGGGTAAAGCCAGGGAAAGCTGGCTTTTTTTTTCTGCTCCTATGCTCCAAAGTGGTCATTACAATATTAGCACACTGTAAATAGTCAGTTTGTAAGTTATGAAATCTGTTTTTAAGTCAGGAAAAACTGAAGTTGTTTGGGAAGTAACATGTTCTAGTGGTGCCTAATTCCAAATCCTACTGAAATTGGTAGAAAGACTTTGAGTCAGCCACTGCTTTCTGTCAGGTCAAATATCCAACCTAAACCTCCTCTGTCACGACCTCAGGCCGTTCCCTTGGGTCGTGTCACTGGTCACCACGGAGAAGAGATCAATGCCTTCCCCTTCTCTGCACACAATATTCAAGGTGAGGCCACACCACTGCAGAGCAGAGCGGGACAATCCCCTCCCTTGACCTGCTGGCGATGCTTTGCCTGATGTCCCCCAGGACATGGCTGGCCCTCCTGGCTGCCAGGGCACTGCTGACTCATATTCAGCTTCCCATCAACCAGGACCCCCAAGTCCCTTTCCATGGCACTGCTTTCCAGCATCTCATTCCCCAGTCTGTACAAATATCCTGGATTGCTTGGCCACTAATGCTAGTTGAGCAAGCAAAAACAATTCCACAGCTCTGCATGGATGTCGCATTTTGGTCTTCACACATGAGTCATTTTCCCAATGAAGTATGCAGTACTTGGGTTATGCTGCAGTCATTTTTTGTTAGTGTCATGTTGTTGAAGGCTACAAAAGCGGGTATTGTATTGAAGTTCATATTCTGTAGTAAGAATAACATGAAAATAGTCATATAATTTTACAGACAGAAAGATACATTTTTATAGCTATAGATATAAACATATATGTCTATCTCTCCAGTATGTTTCTTGAGTTTTTAGATAGATTAGTTAAACCTCGTCTATGAAGTGCTAAATGTTGCCCTACTTTCTGTGGAGTTGTCTTGAATACACATCCATAGACTTTTTTTTTCCACTTTACGTAGAATCATCTTTGTAGCTATATTACTTTCATTTTGCTGGAATTCAGGGTAAATTAGTATGTAGCATGTCCAGTTGAATGACTACTTGATTGCAAGCTGGCTAATTTAAACTACTTTGGCATTTCTATGTTAAAATTTAGTTTGCTGGAATATACGGGTGCCCTTTCCCTTTGGCCTTTATACAGAGACTTCAGAAATGTATATATAACTATATATAGTTATATATATAACTATATAGATAACTATTGTGTAAGCTTTACAATTTTTTATCTTTCATTCTGTAATTATTTGTAGGATGTCTTTTACGAGATACCAGCAGCACTGAATTATTTGACATAGTACATTCTTCAACATTAGGCATTTTGACATAAGTCATCACTTTCACAACTGACTGGAAATTTTTCCATATGATGTGGTCATATGTAGCTAGTGTTGAGGACATGTTTATGAAGTGAAAGAGATAGCCACATCATTCAAAGAACCTTTGGTAGTCATTCTTTCCTCTGAGTGCCTGTGCAGTTGTGTGTGTTAGCCATGAAGGAATTGGTTCTGGATCTTCAAAGCATGTGGCGTCACTGCTCAATAGCATCCTTGCTCTGCTATAGCAGCTATTTAATAAAGGTCTCCTATTAGTTTTGCTTTTTCAGGAAAATAAGACCTCATGATTTGTGATTTCCTTATTCCTGTAGAGTCAAAGCAACTGTTACATACCATGTGTTGGGATGTCACCACCTAGTTGACAAGAGCCTAACTAGGGGCCAGCAAGAGGCATGTGATGCCTCTTGCCTTTTCTAGCTATCAGAATGGCTATGGTGGAGGAAAGCTAAATTAGCTGTTCTGGAATGGTGGCGGTAAGAAACACAAACCTAGACTTTATTAATTCATGTGCTTCGTGAATGTATCTTTCCCTCTCCCCTCTCTTTTTTTCTAGAGGACCTGCTGAAATAATGTAGTTCGGATAACCTTGACTGTCTCTCACAATAGGAAATACCTGATCATCAAAGACTTTTTTATTTAAACCTCCGTTGTTGTGTGCAACATCCAAATACCACAGTATTTTTATTTTGTTCCACCGAGTAGCTACATCATGTGTCAGATTAATTTGGAACAAAGTACATTCATGCAAAATCAGTGTTGAAAAGTGTCACCTACAGCCTATAGCCCTTCTGATTTACATTTTATCTCTGTAAAGTAATTGTTCCGATTCTCAGTTATAAGAGAGCTGGAACATAGCAGACATCTTACTGCAAAATACTCAAATCTAGTAGGTCAGGGTTCTTGTTTACTTCTTTCTGCAATTAGTAATTCTGTAGTACAAAGGGATATATAGTTAAAATGATGATGTGTATGTGTTTGTTTAGGTTTTGGATGGGAAAAAAGATGGCTAAATCTGAAATGCCACCTTTCATTGTACTGAAAGAAATTGCAGCCAAAATTCTGCTGCTGGTGCTGGGACTCTTCAAAAGGTTGTGACAAAAGTGCATACTCACTGTACAAAGAGTGTGTACAAATAATGTAAAATGTAAGAAACCAGCGACATTAGGTGTACTGTGAGGTGTAGTTTTAAAAGACCTTTTAAAGGGACCAAAGTCAGCTGTACATGCCAGATGAAGTCATTTAGTGGCTTTTACATAATGAACATACATGGCCCTTTTTGTGAAGAGAATTATTTTCTCTTCTGTAGAAAATTCCATTTACATTTTCACAAGGCAATATGTCAATTTTTTCCAATGAGAGCGATCAGTCAGGGACGAT